GGCCTGGGAAGTTGCTCTGCTTCTGAACCACATGCCCTCCCATGAATCAAGTCTTTTATTCTGGGCAGGTATGGGCCAGTCTCAGGAGGGGGGTTCCTTAACTTACAAATCTGGCTACCTGCCATTCTGAGAGTTGCTTCCTGTATCTCTACAAATAATGCCTGCAAGAAGTCTCTCCCCTCTCCTGGCAAAGAAGCTGTTTGCATTCGGGAGCAAAGAAGGGACTCGAAGCACAGGGAAGGCAAACACCACACACATGGGGTTTCTGTCCAAGCCTATCTCTGGGAAACATGGATGAAAGCATTAAGCTCTCGTGGAGAAAGATGTTTTGAGCTTCCATTGAGTGTGAGGGTTGTAAACGCACATCAATGGCAAACAGTGGAGCTTTTGTCTTAGTGTCAGAATAAAAACATTCTCACAGGAAGCCAAATCATTGGCAGCTATATTCTGAAGCAGTAAACAGCACTTTTCACCATTAATTGAGTCTCAAAACCCTCCACCCACAGAGATATATCTACACACACAGTTTTACCAATCACCTTAGGAACCTCATGGGTTACACCTTATCCTATATGAAGAAGTAACAGTAGTCTGTGTGATGGCCATGAAGAAAACAGCCTGGTTTACTCCAGCACACATTGTAGATCCCACCCCCTCCACGGAACACAATACAAACTCTCCTGCAACCTTGCCTGTGACAGAGACTGAGGTGAGTGTGCCTGCTCAGCAAAGTCTCCACAGACTCGTTTTAGTCCAGAGGCTCTGTGCAATGATTCTCAATGTACAGCAACTCGTTTTAGTCCAGAGGCTCTGTGCAATGATTCTCAATGTACAGCAACTCCAGGACCTCTATTTAACCATTCCGTGTTCATTACCCATTCTGTGTTCATTACCCTAATGCCCCCTGCTTGTGAAAAATGATAACACAAACCTGTATACTGAAGAAGCTAGAGCTAGGCACTGCTCAGGAGACAGTGTATGGTAATACATTATAAAGCCTGCTCAGGAACTAGAAGGCACTTTTATCTAGTTCATTCCTCATTTGACAGGCAAACCTTTCCCATTTTGGAGAATGTTGCCAGAATAGGGCTTTGCCGTTTCTCTTTGAAGTGGGAATGAAAATATGTTTTGGCTGTGTCTAGATGCAGCACGATGGGACTCAAGCCTTTGTTATGCATTTCTCTAGTCTTCAGACCATACAACGTGGACAATTTTGAGGGGTTACTGTGTCAGTGACAGCATGCCTGTGAGCCTCAGTTCCCTCAGTTGTACAATGGTAATGACCCAGTCTCTGTAGTGTTGTTTTAGAGCATGGAGAATCCAAAAAGCAAGTCTTATGCTTAGACCAGTTCATTTAGATTTTTGTTTGTTTGTGCTTGTGTGTGTGTGTGTGGGGGGGTACATAAACATGTACAAGAATGCTTGTGCTTATGAAGGTCAGAAGTCAAGGTCACTTTCTACCTTACTTATAATAGCATCTTTTATTGAACCTGGATGTCACTGATTGGCTAGGGTGACTGGCCTCTTAGCTCCAGGGATCCCCCTCTTTCCACCTTCCATGCTGAAGTTATAGACACACACTGCTCTTGCTTGAGTTTACACTCATCAAGCACTTTACCGACAGAGTCACCTCACCATCTCCATTCAGTAGTTTGAAACCTTTGGTGGGTCTGAATTCCACCTTCCTCTGCCTCCACCATCACTCACATCCATTTTGTTCCAGGAACAGCAAACACAGCTAGGCATTGGGACCAGTGTTTCTAGAGACACAAAACATGTGTGGTTTTTGTTTCAACTTCTTGATTTTCCTGGATCCAAATCTTTAGGGTAAGTGCTTATGTGATGTAGTTTCATCCATTACCTGACTGTCTATGCCCCCAAACCAGTACACTGTGTGCTACAGGCACACTTGATGGTACCCTTTTTAGTGTGTGTGTGTGTGTGTGTGTGTGTGTGTGTGTATACACAGATGTGTGTGAGGTGTGTGCATGGATGTTCATGCCTGTGTGTGCGTGCAGAGGCTAGAGGAGGAACATGGATGTCCTACTCTTCTCTCTCTTCACTTCATTCCTTGTTCAGTGAGAGAGCAGGAGCCAGACCGACAGCCAGCAAGCCCCATCACTCCTCCTGTCCCCACTCTCACAACACTGGGGTTATACGCATGCATGGCATATACCTGGTACATTTGTGGTGCACCTGTCTTTTTATATGGATCTGAGCTCAGGCAGAAAGTGCTCTTAGCCACTGAGCCATCTGTCCAGACCTGTTTTCTGCAGTTTCCTCCATAGGATTGAGTTGCTTTCTGGTTTCGCTCTTGCTTCTTCTCTTCGTTTAGTTCATCTGTTCAAATGTCACTAACTCAGAGAGTTATGTGCAGACTGTCACATGTGATGCAGCCCCTCACCCTCCTACCAGGTTATCTCCTTGTTGCTTCACCTTTATGGCATTTATAACTGTCTCAAATTTTAACCCCCCCCCCCACTTTGTGTTACCTTTTCCCTCTAAAATGCAGTTTTCATGAGAGGAAAAGGCATTGGTGGGGAGTCAATAATAACAATGTATGAGCCGTAGTGAGTGTCAACAATGTCATGTTGAATGAATAAGTGTTGGTTTCCAAGGGAAATTACTTTAGGGAAACCTAGGATTTTGATCTGTAATTTTGAACTGGGAATTTGTTCACAGCAGTAAGTGCTTAGGAGAATTAGTCAAACTCCAGGCACATAACTAACTCAATAGTTCAAAGGTTGTCTGTGCTTTAGCCAACTTTATTCCCACAGCTCTACAAGTCAACGTTACTACTCATTTCATAGGCACAAAACTGTGCTCTAGAGAGCACCCAGAGGTTAATGAGCTTGAACCAGGCATCACAGGGGTTGAGTCTAAATGCAGGTATTTGAGCCAATGCTCTTTACCACCCAATAGAAAGCATTAAATGAACATAGCCTCAACTGTGGCTCAGCACTGAGCTTCAAGCTTAGAGGTATGAGGTCATGGAAACCTCACTTCAAAACGGCTATCATTATTGTTTTACAGAGAGGGAAGCTGGAATTGGGAAGCTTCAGCAACTTGTCTAAAGTCCCATAACTCCTTAGTGATGAAAGGGGATCGAAGGGTACAGAATGTGAGTCGAAATCCATGTTCTTAGGACTCTTGCCCATATTACACAAACAATGTGGATTGCTGTTAGAGCTCAGTCATTCTGAGGTTTAGTGGGGGTGGGGGAGAGAAGAACTCATCTCCTCATTATAAAGAGTCTCTCTTGGGATATTGGGTTCTATCCTTTGGCTACAGATCCATTTAACTTTGGGATGGACCAATTTAGATGTGTGACTAGGAAAAGCAGAACTGTTTTTCGATATGACCACTTGATTGGATAGTATCTGTTTCTTCAGAAAGGCCCTAAGAATGAAATGTGGAAACATGACTACAAAAATTTCAATTGTGGTTACTAAAATAAACTCGGAAAATGGATTTAATATTTCTGGGTCTATGTGTTGATATAAATAAAACAAAATCTGTAAGGTTTAGCCCTATTGTATTCTCAGAAATTCCATACCAGTGTGCTTTCTTTCACTGACTACATCCATAGTGACTCAGACTTGCCTTCACAAAGGTCCTCTGTAGGGACAGCAAGACTTTATCTGATAGTCAGTTCAGTACCCCTGAATTGTTACGTATGTGTTACATATGTGCAAAAAACACAGGAGATGAAGTAAAATCCTGGAACCCACATACTATTACCCTGACTTCAAAAACAGTTAATGTAAAGAACCATGCCTGAATATGTGGATATCAAACCACTTTTCTTTGAAAATTTCCCTAAGCCACTGAGACCGGTTGATTCAGCAAGAAGAAAATGAGTCTGGCTGATTCTATTGAGCTCCAGCATTTCCACAGAACTCTTATTATGTGTATTTCATTCAAAGCCATGTGATCCTATCTGAACCTGTATTTGATGCTCACAATTATCCAAATGTGTGGGTAGTGTGGGTATTATTAAGCCATTTTACAGATGAGGAAATTGAGGTTAATAGAGTTTAAAGAGCTTGCCCAAGGTCAAGAAGCTAATAAACAGCAGAGCCAGCACCTGGACCTTTGGATTCCAAGTTGCATGCTGTCTTCTGCAGCCCACACTCACCTTCCCCTGGCCAGATGACCTGTCAACGATGAGACTGCATATTTAACTATTTCCACAAGGCTGGCTTCCCAGGGTAGAACCTCTGGGTCCTATGGAGGCCCGAAATATCATTCCCTTTACTCAGCACTGTGTGCCTGTCTCTCATTCCATCGAGTTTCAGTCCCATCTGCTCAAAGTTATGAACACAGTCAATAATGTTTGTGGTCCAGAGGCATCATTACATTGTTTCCAGTATTCAACTTTGATTGTTTCCTCTGGAACATCCTGGGGGTTTGTCCTTGCATCCAGTGTGACAGGTGCTGGTGGAGCTGGCACCTCACGTGATGGTGATGCTTCCTTCTCTTCTCTGCCTCTGTGAGCTCTGGGATCAGCAGAGATTTTAGTCCAGTCTTATTGTGCTTTTGTCAGTATTTGCTCCGCAGGCTTTACTTTTATGGTTTCTGCCAGGATTTGATGGAGTTGCAAAACTGATCAAGTGCCTCTGCTTACTCAGGGAAAGGATTTCAGAAGTAAGTGGTTTAGTGACTCCAGGTAAACAAACCAGGAACCAGGCTTGATTGAAATACAAATGCATGATTCAGCACAGCATCTACTGGCTAGACCCAGACACAGAAGGAACCTGGTGTAGCCAGGCCAATGCCAGATGCTTGTGTTCCTGGACAGGGAGGGTCACTGGATGTCCTGTTGAGATTCAGTGGGCCAGTAGAAGGCAGTAATTACTTGATTTTCATCTCAGTGATACTTGTGGTACTGACCCTTTTCAACAGGTGGAATAATTGAGCTTTCCAAGCAGAAGCCAAACACAACTTGCACCTATGTATAGGAAACAAATGAGCTGACCCAGTCTGTGTTTTCATGGCAGACATACGAATTGAACTTGGCCAATCCGGGAGGTCAGAATGCTGCTCCTCTGCCACATTCTGGCAGTGACCATCCTTCAGATGCTGATCTTCTCAGAAAACTGGGTATTTGCCAAGAACATTAACTTCTACAACGTGAGGCCTCCTCTTGACCGTAAGTAGGGGCTGTGGTCCTCATGTCAGTTTGTGCGAGCACTGTCCCTAATCACGACTTAGTAGAAATTCAGTGATTTCTTCATCAGAGAAGATTACCGGCTGTGGAAAGTTTCTGCGTAAATGATGCACCCATTCTTTCAAGTGGCCATTAACACCATTTGAAAACTCATCAGAGAGTTTAAAATTGGGAAGAGACCTGGGTCTTCATTACTGTGATGCACAATTAATGGTGCTTAAAAGTTTCGCCACTAAAAGTAGTCAAATAGTAATCCAGAGGGTGAGATGTGGGGCATGCTTTTCTTTTCCTTTCTCCTCTTCTCTTTTCAAATGCTTTCCTGGTGCTGGTGGAGATACACAGCCCGGGTAAGGGCTGTCTTCATCCTAGCCCTACACGAGGTGTTCGCCATTGCCGTTCTTCACTTCACATTTTCTATACTATTTAGGATGTTCTATCTTCTCTGTCTCTGTCTATCTCATTCGTGTGTGTATATATGTATATGTATATGTATATGTATATGTATATGTATATATGTGTGTGTGTATGTATATGTAGGTGTATATAAACTCTAATGCCACTATCATTCTTGCGCATTCCCTCAACCCCTCTTATTTCAGAAGATAAATTGAAATAGAGCCGTTCCATGAATCTTTCCGAGTAGCTCACGGAGCCATTTTCATTTCTCTGTGTGGAAGATTCCAGTACTTACTAGAAGGGAACAAATGACATGAACACAAGCCAGACGGGTCGCTTGAGCTTTTGGGACAGGGACGTAGGCATTCCCAAGAGGATGTCTTTTCTGTTTTGTTTCATCTAATAGAGTTGCTAATTTTGTGCTATTTTCGATGTTTGAAAGTTTTGTCTTTTTGTGACCTGACTTCCTTTTTCTTTAAAGCCACCCCATTCCCAAACAGCTTCAAGTGTTTTACTTGTGAAAATGCCGGGGATAATTATAATTGCAATCGATGGGCAGAAGACAAGTGGTGTCCACAGGGTGAGTGTATGAGCTTGGAAGACTCTTCTGGATTCCTTTGTGTGCTCACTTTAATTAGGTCCTTCCCTTAACTGGAAGAGATGGCTTGTGTAGTAGATTAGTGTGCCAACAGCCCAGTGGCATTTTATAGGGGTCCTGGATTTCCTGTGAAAGACTATCCAGACAACAGAATATCGTGGGAGAACCTGGAAATGGCTGACACAGCCTCAACATGTAGTTGATGCATTATGAAACCACAGTGTTGACTAAAGTGTTCAAACAATTCCAGAAATGCTTGATGATACCTTAGAAACATCCTACTTACTGGCTTAAAGCAAAGAAGGGTTTCTGTGCTCTACTCTAGAGATTCACTGATGCTTGGGAAGCTCATTCACTAGCCTAACAAACATCTGATTATCCTTGGTAGTTTACTGACACATCTCTAGTGCCCAATCCAGTGCCTGGGTCCTAATATGCACTCAGTAAATACTTGCTGACAGGTGAATGGATGCCTTTGACTAGGTAGCCATGGGAAACCTTCTCTGAATATACATTAAAACAAAGACCTTAATGGCCAAGACAAGGAAACCAGATGGAGATCTGCAGGAATAGTTGCCTGGAAGGAAAATCTCAAATGTAAAGGCCTCTAGAGTCAACAGTTGGTATGGCCTCTTCAATAACAGACTGGCCACTGTGGCACAGCAGGAGATGGAGAAACAATCTGAGAGAGACCCACGTTCAAAGATGTGCAGATGTTTCTTTTTCTGCTAGAGTGTGGAAGTCAGAGCACATGATTGTGATATACAACATTGTCATGTGGAGAATGCAAAGCTGGAAACAAGAGTCAAAGAATACATCAAGTGGCGACTGTCATCACTTCTGCTTGGAGGGTGGGAACTGGAACTTCCAGAGGTAGAAACAGAGTTGTGAGGAAACAATGTTTTCATACAGAGTTGGAGCTAAAGCAGACAGAATGTGCTCATGAGTTTGGAACTGAGAGAACTATAGAGACTGGGCTGTTTTGATTTTAGGTTATCAGAGGCAATGACCCAAGAAATACAAAGAGCAAAACAGACTTCCAAAGTTAGAAATTGCTAGTTTGGGTCTATTACCATGAATGTTTCTATACTATATTATTTATAATAGTAGAATGGCTTGATTTTATCCAGATATAAAAAAGCTGTGTCCTCCTCCCCACAAAACCCACTACTGGCTACATTACGGAGAATCACAGCTAAGTTAAGTGTGCAGGCCTGTGACTTCTGTATTAATCAGGGTTTTTATTGTTGTGAAGAGACATCATGACCATGGCAACTTTTTTTTCTCCAAAACGGTTTCTCTGTGTAACAGTCCTGGCTGTCCTGGAACTCACTCTGTAGACCAGACTGGCCAGGAACTCACAGAGATCCACCTGTCTGCCTCCTGAGTGCTGGGATTAAAGGCGTGTATGTGCCACCACCACCTGGTGATCATGGCAACTCTTACAAAGGAAAACATTTAATTGGGGTGGCTTACAGTTTCAGAGGTGTCATTCATTATCATCATGGCTATAAGCATGGCAGACATAGTGCTGGAGAAGGAACTGAGAGTTCTACATCTTGATCTGCAGGCAGCAGAAAGAGTCTGAGCAAAGGAGATCTCAAAGGCCACTCCCATAGTGACATACTTGCTCCAACAAAGCCACAACTCCTAATAGTGCCACTCCCTTTGGGGGGGCATTTTCTTTCAAACCACTACATTCCACTCCCTAGCTCCCAAAGGCTTGTAGCCATATCATAATGCGAAAATACATTCAGTCCAACTCCAAAAGTCCTCGTAGTCTATGACAGTCTCACATTCATTTAAAAGTCTAAAGTTCAAAGTCTCTTCTGAGATTTATGCAATCTCTTAACTGTAATCCCCCATAAAATCAAAATAAAAAAGCAGATCACATACTTCCAACATATAATGGCTCAGGACATACATTACCATTCCAAAACATAGGGAAGGGAGCATAGTGAGGAAATACTAGACCAAAGCAACACTGAAAACCAGCTGGGCAAAATCCAAACTCTGCATCTCCATGTCTGATGTCAAAACATTCTTCAGATCTCCAACTCCTTTTAGCTTTGTTGACTGCAACATACTTTTTTCACCTGGACTGGTTCCACTTCCTGTCAGCAGCTTTCCTTGGCATGTATCCCATGGCTCTGACATCTCCAACATCTTGGGGTCTCCAAGGAAATCCAGGCTTCACATTCACAGCTTTGTTCAATGGCCTTTCTAGGCCTCCATTGTAGGGATACCCCTGACACATGCCTGGCCTCAGCATCTTTCCTTAGTCATGGAAGAAGTTTCCATAACTGCTGTGGATATCGCTCTGTATAAATAAACACTGATTGGTCAGTAGCTAGACAGGAAGTATAGGCGGGACTAACAGAGAGGAGAATTGAGGGAACAGGAAGGCAGAGGGGGAGACTGCCTGGAGCCGCCGCCAGGACAAGGAAGATGTAAGGTACCAGTAAGCCACGAGCCACGTGGCAAAGTATAGATTAATAGAAATGGGCTAAATATAAGAGTAAGAGCTAGACAATGGTAGGCCTGAGCTAATGGCCAAGCAGTTTAAATAATATAAGCATCTGTATGTTTACTTTATAAGTGGGCTCCGGGACTGGCGGGACTTGGTGGGAGCTGGAGAGAAATTCTCCAGCCACACATAACACCTTTCTTCTATCCTTGACTCTAAAGCCAGAACAATATGCCAAAGCTGCAAAGTTCTGCTGCTTGCTGGGGTTGGAACATGGCCCCCTTGTTCAATTACACCTTCACCAGCTTTCTCTTTTCAGTAGTTTCCTTCAATGCTAAGCTTGGCTGTTCTGAAATTGAATCAATAGACCAGGCTGGCCATAAACTCAGAGATCTGCCTACCTCTGCCTCTGGAGTGCTGGGATTTAAGATGTGCACCATCACACCCAGTTCTAAGCTTTTCTTTAATTCCTTTTCACAAATTGGGAGGATCTTGTGGATGATCTAGGTGAGATCTTGCCCTGAGGTCATTACTCCATTTCTTAATCATGTTTGTCTCCTTGAACACAGGACTTAGCTCAGTTCTACTTCCTGGTGTCCTCTCTCTCCTCAAATTGTACATTTTATATTTTCCTTGCTCAGCTTGCTCTTTTTCATTATTAGTCTTCATTAGAGTTAGCATTAATATGCACACAATAGAGTCTATACTAGGCTGTTTTGAGATTTCGTTAGACAATGACATTAATCCAAAACTTTTCACTTTAGCCTCAGGCAGACTTTTCAGACAAGGGCAAAAAGCAGCCACAGTCTTCACTAAAATACCACAAGAACAATCTCTAGGCAACATATTAAAATTCTTCTCTGAAACCTCTTGAACTAGACCCCACAGTTCATCAAATCACACTTATCACCACTGTCTTCCATGTTCCTACTAGTATGGCCCATTAAGCAGAACTTAAAATGTTCATCTGCTTTTCTAATTTACAATCTCCAGATCCATATTCCTTCAAACAAAAGCATGGTCAGGCCTATCATAGCAACACCCCACTCCTGATACCAACTTCTGTCTTAGTTAGGGTTTCTATTGCTGTGAAGAGACACCATGACCATGGCAACTCCTTCAAATCACCATAGCATCCATATGGTCAATGTTTGTCATTACCTCTTTTCTAGAAGAATCAATTACTAGAACCTTTTTTCTTTAGGTTCTTTTATATTTCTGTAAAGTGACTACTCTTAAATTGTCATATGTTTGCACCTGTGTGATTGTGTGCATTTTTTCATGTTTCCACAAAATTTTTTCTTAGTTGTTTTAAAGGATTTTTTCTATTTAGGATTTTTTACATGCATAAAATTCATTTTAATTGAAGCACTCTCTTTTCACTCCCCTCCAGTTTCTACCTTATCCCCTTCCCCTATACACACACACCACTATTCCTCCTCAATTTTGTAAGCTTTTTTAAAACTCGATGAGTCCACTTAATGGGGATAGGTAATGGACAATCTATTGGATCATGAGTATCCTCTCAGGGGTCACGTCCTAAAGAAAACTGACTTGACCTACTGGACAGTCATCAATTGCCAATAGTGCCTCAGCTTGGAGTAGGATTTTATGAGCCCCTTCCCTGCCGGTGCTGGGATTTTGTTTGACTTGATATTGGGCAGGTCTTCTGCATGCAGTCACAGCCTCTGTAAGCTGATGTGTGCGATGGTCCTGTCATTCATGTCTGGTAAATGCTGTTTCACTGCAGACCCATTCACCTTGGCTCTTAAAATCTTTGTTACCTTTCTTTCCTTGATGATCCCTGAGCCTTGAGAGTAGGAGCTCTGATACAGCTGTCCCATTTAGCACTAAGCATTCCACATTCTTATCCTCTTCACATTGACCAGATGTGGGTCTCTGTATTAATCACTCTTTCCTGCAGAAAAAAGATTCTTTGATGAGGGTTGAAAGATGTACTAATCTATGAGTGTAAAGATAAGAAGGGCAAACTATTACTATGTCCATTTAGCAGAACAATAGCAGAAGGTTCTCTCTTAGGACTTAGGACCTAGCAAGCCATGGGGTTTGGGCCCAGTTCACAGTATAAGGCACTAGTTCCATCTTGTAGAATGGGCTTCCAGTCTACTCAGGAAGAGATTGGTTATAACTGTTTTAGTTTTAAGGTTGGTTGATAACTATCTCTCCTAATTTATTTCAGATGGTCTATATCATTCATTATTAATTTGCTTTAAATTTCCCCTTAACACCAAACGGAAGGGTTAGAATAGCTTTAAAGTTTACTTGCTCATTGGCCTTCCCTTTATGGATCAAGCTATTCTTTGAATGGTCCCTTCAAAGTCTATGATCACTATGTGCACAATGTTCCAATTTGTTGTTTATCAACCAAAACCTTTGATCTGCTTCGAGTTTTAGAATATCACCTCTTTTGTTTATTTAAATATCTTTTAAAGATTAATTTATTTTATGTGTGTGAGTATTTTGCTTGTATGTACATCTGTGCTCCACATGCAGCCTAGTATCCAAGGAGACCAGAAGAAGGCATTGGAGTCCCTGCAGCTGGTTAGTTTCCACATGGGTACTGGGAACTGACACAGCTCCTCCCAAAGAGCAACAAGGGCTGAGCCATCTTTCCAGCATTAATAACGTCTCTTTTGAACCACAGATAAACAAAACAGGTGACCTTAGTCTCCCATCCCCTATCAGTGTCAGCAACAGCAATGGCAGCCCACCTGAGAAGCCAACTCTTACAGGAACCAGCATGGAATGACCTCACATTCCAGCACAGCATGAGAGCTCATTTTTGACCATCTGCTATTCAAGTCTCAAAGACATTAACCATCTGGAGTTATAACTGAGGTGTCATTTCTGACTTTTCCCTTTGCTGTTATTTAGGGAAGTATAGTCAAACATTCATCCATGACCAGCGGGCCTGGAGCTATTGTTCTTTGCCATCTCAGATTTCCTTTATCTCCATAAAGCTCCACTTGTGGTCTGTCCCTGGAACAGAACACCACAACATGGTGATTCTTGTTTTATTGGCACCGGCTTTTGTGCTGACTTGTTAGAGGATGCTTTCCTGTGTGTGATGCGTGCAATGCTCTGGATAAACACAAGCAGCCACTGGTTTCCAAGTCTTCTGAGTTTGGACTATGCATTTAAATGCCTTCTCCAAAACACCTAATGACTCCCTTTCTTTCAGACTTCAAAAGTCAGCTACTTTTGTCTAGTTTAATGCTGAGTATCTTGGGTAGCAGCCAAGTGTACTGATTAGGAGCACAAATTCTTGAAACCTGCCTTGGTTAATCCTACCTTACCCCTGTATAACCCTCCTACCTGTATGGCAGTGGGCAAGATGGTGGTGCCTGCCTTTAACCCCACAATCAGGAGGCAGAGGCAGGAGGATCTCTGTGTGAGTTCTAGGTCAGCCTGGTCTATGTAGAGAGCTCCAGTCCAGCCAGGACTACATAATGAGATATTGTCTAAAACAACAACAAAAAAGAATGTTAATATGGTCTATGGCTTTCCAAAGGCTCACGGTAAGGATTGAATGAATGAACATAAGTTAGAAGGTAACTGATTGCCGATCTACAATATGAATATATTTGCCATTGTAAATATTATTAAAGTTATCAAAATGCCACTCTATGTATTAGCATTTCATTAAAAACTACAATGATAGCCAGGCGGTGGTGGCACATGCCTTTAATCCCAACACTTGGAGGCAAAGGCAGGCGGATCTCTGTGAGTTCAAGGCCAGCCTGGGCTACAGAGTGAGTTCCAGGACAGGCTCCAAAGCTACACAGAGAAACCCTGTCTCAAAAACAAAACAAAACAAAACAAAAAACCCCTGCAATGATCTCAAAAGTGCTAACAAGACTTAGTTGCAACAGTTCTGAGAACTCTGTTTCTCAATTCTGGTCCATTTTCCCCCAGTCAGTTGCTACTGGGATTCATGGTGACTAAATTAACAATGATTTCCATGGTCTTGGTAGCAATAGAGGAAACACAGAACCAGAACAGAATATCCTATGATGTCCCATGAACCACTTTCTTAGAAGAATGCTGTCATAAAGTGGGTGTTTAAAGCAGTGAGGATAACGATATAGAAATGAGCTAACTATACAGAGCAGTCATGAGTGGGGAACAGGAAGCGAAGGGGAGAGGAAAAGTGGAATACATTGATGAGGAAGAGTCAAACATGTTAGAAAGCATAGAATATGAATAAGCAAGATGAGGAAGGAGGTGAGCTGATGTTTAGCTGGAGACCCGTTCGCCACTTAGCCTGTAAGAAACAAATGTTGAGTGAGGCTCCAAGTCTTCAGAGGTGTTGTTTTCATGCTCACAGTTTCTGTCTTAATTTAGAGTTCTAGAATGCATGCTTCAGAGGAAGAAGGGCCAGACTAGGGTCATAAATCCTTGATATTTGGTGAGCAGACCCAAGGATGGATGAAAACTCTGCACATTTTTTTCTCAGCTTCAGCTAATACCAAAGGGACTGGATACCCATTTATATTCATTTTCAAAACACACATGTAATTTAGAAGCTGATGTCTTTGCAGAAATACCACCTACAAGCTCTAGCATTCACTGCTATTAAATTTCTCACCTGGAAGCCTAAAGATTATCCCGAATTTCAGTTATTTCTGGCATGATGGTCTAGAGGTCTCTTTTGCAATATGGAAAATAAAATTGCTTTTTTGTTGTTAAATTTTCCTAGACACACAGTATTGTTTGACAGTTCACCACTTCACCAGCCGCGGACGAAGTACATCCATCACTAAAAAGTGTGCCTCTAAAAACGAATGTCATTTTGTCGGCTGCCGTCACAGCCGGGACTCGGAACACACGGTAAAGAGCATGTGTGTGTGGAGTTACTTCCCCAGGTTTCAGGGTGATGGTGGTTAAGTTATGCGCCATGGGAGAACCAAGAAGGAGAAGCACTGTGTTGGATTTGTTTGTACTCTGACAAATGGATGCGTCACAGTGCCAATAAGGAGAGCAGACATTTGAAGATAACCTGTCTTCCAAAGGAAATATTCCTAAGAATGAATGAGAATCTCCAGGCTCCAGAGCTAGACTCTGGGCTTCAGAACTTTCATGAATAGTTCGAAATCTGCTCTAGAAGCTCAAGAACAACCTACCCTCCAGAGAGTAAGGCACACTGGAGTCTAGATGACACGTTCTGGTCCTGGCTAAAAATCAGCGCACCCCCTTCCCAGAATAACTAGGTGGTAGAATGGACAAAACAGGGGTGACTTTTGCCACTGAAACTTTGTCTCACTCTCCATCTCTGCTCAGAGGAGAAAGAGTCTAAGAGAATCAGATAAATAAGATAAATTCTAGATGCATGTTGGATCAGTTGATCCTTTAATACCTCATTCTATCATCTGAAACTAGAATGTCCTCTTATATGCAGAGATCCTAAAACTTCGGAGGAAAAAATGACTTTCACATACATGTTTCATGAGATTTTAGAATGTGATCTAGCATGTAAGTCAGTGACCCTGACATATCAGTGGCTGTTGGCTCTGATCACACAAGGGGCATGTGAACAGTAAGAGCAAGGTGTCCTGGTGAGACTGGAAGGGGGCATCCTAGACTGATTGAAATGGAACTTCACATAGAAGTCCAGGGCATCAAGAAAGTACCCCAGGCTGGGCACCGTGGCTCACACCTGTAATCCCAGTGCTCTGGGGGCAAAGTCAGGAGGACTGAGTGTAAAGCCAGCCTGGGCTACATAGCAAGATTTGAAAAGCAGAATCAAAACTTTCCCCTGGGTGGATCTGATGGATAGCTGGCTGGACAGCCAACGATGAATGTGCTGGGCGTTGCTGCCTTTCTGCTTCCTCATTGGCCTAGAAGCCTGTATGAGTGGCTAGTTCATGAGGCCATGGCTTCGGCCCGGCATGCATTGCTATTGCGATCAGAGGTTGCTTCCCTTGAAAGCACTCTTAAGGACTTTCTTTTTAAACTGTCACTGCAGTAATACTGGGACTTGGGTGAATTCACAGACAATAGCAAGCCACCATTATTAGCTAACAAGCAATACTGAGAAAGAAAAACAAGTCCAGAAAGTTCCTAACTTTTACTTTGGTTTCACAGTTTTCTAATAAACCTGTCAAGATTTGGCAACTCAGGTAGTCAAATTTAGCTTCCCTTCTTCACCTCACTTATGCTTGGGTTTGACACAGAAACCTCAAGAGTTAGGATGAAGCCCCTCAGGATGGTCTTTGCTCAGCCCATGACAGGGGAAGGTATCCACAGGCCCAGGCAATGGACAGGCTGGACTAGCAACTCAGGCATCTGTCTCTCTGTCTTTTTCTGTTCCTTCCTCCTTCCTGCTGGTCACTCTCACCCCTTTCCTTCCTTGTACAGGAGTGCAGGTCTTGCTGCGAAGGAATGATCTGCAATGTAGAGTTGCCTACCAACCACACAAATGCAGTCTTCGCTGTGATGCACGCGCAGAGGACATCTGGCAGCAGTGTTCCCACACCCTACCTCCTGGTGCTGGCTTGGCTCGTCATGCTTCCCTTGCTATGATGTTACTGCTCCTAGGACCGGCTGAGACCAGCACTGTAAAGCATGAGGCAGAGACAGTGAACCGGTGAACTTCGGAGCGAAGCTTGCACTTGATAAAGAGGATACATTGGACCCCAAAGCAGAAGGCAGAGGTTTGTTTTGCTGAACTGCTCCTGCATGAGGTCACAGCACTGAGCATGAGGACTTGGTAGGAGCCAAGAGGACTACATAACCTCCAGTGTCCTGGTCTAGGGGCGCTGCATTCTGTTACTTCCGTCAGAAGATCCACCAGTATTGTTGATGGTAACAGTAGCTTGATAAACCCCAGCCTGACCAGACTTTCATCTGGAAGGACTTTTTGACCCCATGGACTCCCTCAGAGGCTGCTGGATCAGACTCTCTGGCTTCTGTGATTAGCTCAGAGCATCTCTGTGAAATTTCATCCTTCTAACCACAGCAGTTTCTCTACTGTGCTAACTTTCCATTATTGGAACAGGAACCTAAAATGATCCATTTATAAAGATGAATGGTTTGTTTGGGCTCACAGGTTTGGAGACTGCAGTACATACTGTTTGGGGGCTTGTGTTAGAGAGTGAATAGGTACTCACTCATAACAGACTTGAGAAGGAGGAAGTATGGGCTAGAGAGATGGCTTAGCAGTGAAGGGCACTAATTGATCCCCTAAAGGACACATGTTTGATTCCCAGCACTCACATGGCAGTTCATATCTGATAACTTCAGTCCCAGGGGATCCAATGCCCTCTTCTGGCCTCTATGAGTGCTGCATACATGTGGTACACAGACATATATGTAGGCAAAACACCCATATACACAAAAATAAATAAAATGTTCTTTTTAAAAGGGGGAAGGAAGGAAAAAAGGAAGAAATGGGGGTGGAGAGAAAGTGTGCACGCAGGTTTTTACTGTACCCTTCAAAGTTATGTTCCCAATGTCCTAAATCCTCCCACTAGTCTCCACTCCCTAAAGGCTCAACCACCTCCTTAATGGCCCCAACAGGCTGAGGACCAAAACTTTAACCTTGTAACAGTCAAGATCCAAACAATGTACCCACTTACCACCTTGTCAATGGAAAGGGCAGCTGTAGGAGGGAAATTTCCAGTTGAAATTTACGAATCTGTTTGCCAATTATGAGGTGGTTGGGGGTGAGGTGGAAAACTTTGAGTTATATAGTGTGATGCATGTTCTGTGTCTCTTGACAATGTGAAAGCCTCTGATGAAGCACATTTACTGATTGATGTCACTAAAGTTGTGTTTCCAGGCACACTGGGTGATATATGCTGTCTGAAAGAATAAAATTTTATGCCAAAGTGGCTTAGTTTTTGCTTGTTTGTTTTTCCTTGGGGGGAGGGGGAGGGAAGAGACTCCTTGGGGAGGCTAAATACAAAAAGTACATTGAGAAGGTCAGGGACCCTCCCTGACCAAGAAGGACAGATGTCATTATATCATGTCCACCCTCAGTGGCAGCCTACCAAGGAAATCACAAGAATTCTTTCCCCCAGCCCAGTCACCTGCTCATCTCTGAATGTCAAGTCCAGCAGAAGAACTCTAGTATGAAATGAAATGTTTGGTCTCGTTTTCCCCCTTTCCCTTCTATAGCACAGTTTCAGAATGTCAAGTGAACATCTCTTTGCTGTTTCTAGGATCCTGATTTCTTACCCTCCCACTTCTGTTCTTATTTGTGTTAAAAATGGACTTCTCCCCTCTAACTAAACATGGGCCATTAGAATGAGCTGCTTTGTTAGAACTTAGTAGTAACACTGTCCTTGCTTGGGCTCATCTGTGACACAGGGTCGCATGGCTTATAGGTCCAATCCATTCCACCACGTAGATTTTGTTAATAAAGTTTTATTGGAACAAAGTTTTGTTTCTGCATGCCCATGTCTGCCTTCAATCCAGGATGGCTGGGTGCAGAAGAGAGAGTGCAGTCTTTGGCAAGACTCCTGTACAGGAAAAGCTTTCTGATCCCTACCCTATAGGAAGACTGATCCAAGAGAAAGTCGTGTTTCTGCAGGGTCCATGGTGTGAATGGTGAACGCTGAATCTGGGAAGTGGTTTGCCGGATACATTGTTGATTTCTGCATCAGTGAGTCTGTCCTCTCTGTTTTGATTTGGTGTTCCATTGGTCCATTCTGATGCTGGTTATGGACTCTTGGCAGACACAGGCTGTGCTGGTCTCTTCTCCCTGATGCTTTGGGAGTGTCTCATCTTAAGTAAGACTTTTCAGTTCCCCATAGAACAAGGAGTGGGAAAGTACATTATCTCCTTTATGTCTGTAACACGAATTCCTAAATGGTCTTAATAAAAAACAAAACAAAACAAAAAACAAAAACAAAAACAAAACAAAACAAAACAAAAAAACCCCAGAGTCAGATATTGGGGTAAATGCTAAAAGATCAGAGGGACAAAGGAGCAAGCCACTGCCACTCTCACCTCGCCAGCTCCATGAGTCCTCTGACTGAAATCCTCTGAGTCCTCACCCGAAAGGCTCCGGCTGAAAAAGCCTCTAGCTGAAAGGGATGCTTCTGCCGAAAAGCCCTTAGTTCCTGTCTCCTCACACCTTATAAACCTCTCTCCGCCCAGCCGTCACTTCAGGGATGAAAGGCACGTGTGCTTCCCAGTACTAGGATTAAAGGTGTGTGCCACCACTGCCTGGCCTCTATGTCTAATCTAGTGGCTTGTTCTGTTCTCTGCTCTCCAGGCAGATTTTATTGGGGTCCACCATTCATCACCACGTCTGTCCCAGCCTCGGACTCACCTGGAAGCATCGGTTCTGAAGCCTGATGCAGATTCACCCTCTTTTCACTCAGCACCTTGAACTATCTGTGACTTCAGAGCTTCTACTTCTACATGGCTTCCTTTGGGACATTTAAATAACATCTTCAGTGTCTCTTTATCCTCTAGTCTCTTCCTCTGCCCAGCATGTTTTTTGACTATGCAATTGACATATTGTCTAGTAAAATTAGAATCATTAGTAGACTGTAATTTTTTTTTATTTTGTTTCTGGTATCTAGATTAATAAAAATCTCTGTGTGTGTGTGTGTGTGTGTGTGTGTGTGTGTGTGTGTGTGTGCGCGCGCGCGTGTGTTTGTGCTCACATGCATGCACACTTGACAGCATGTGTGGCGGTCAGAGGGCAACAGGAGTTGGTTCTTTCTTTCACCTTTGTTCCTTTGAACTCATGTCATCAGGTTTAACCAATGAGCCACCCCACCAGCCCAGCCTTCTATGCCTATGACGTTGACTCTGCGGTCTCTTCCTAATTCAAAAAGTAAATCGGGTCATTGGAGTCTATCACATGGATTTTTTTTTTTTTCCATTTCACACAGCTATGGAATGACCAGGTATCCAAGACTTCAGACTGATTTGTCTTTAGTGATTAAGGAAATTAGGTAAAATTTTGGTTTCAAAATGTTCGGTGACAACTGGAGTAATGAGCCAGGAAGAAAGGGGAACGTGTAGATTTGCTGTTACAAAGGAATCATGGGGTACGCTATTAATATGAGCGGTGTTTAAAGAAAGAAGCTGTCAAATTGTGTGTTAAACAGCTCTGTGTTGTAGCACGAATTGCTAGAAGGTCTTATTAATAAAATCAAACCTGAAGCCAGGTATTGGGGTGAATGCTAGAAGATCAGAGAAGCAGAACAAGCCACAGCTTCCTCACCTCGTGAATTCCTCAGCTGATCCTGTTTCCTCAGACTGGATGCCTCTGAGTCCTCATCCAGAATGAATCTCAGCTGAAGTGCGTCTCAAAAGCCTGAAGCTTAACCAGCCAAAAGCTTCTAGTTCCTGGTCTTCACACCTTATATACCATTCTGCTTTCTGACATCACTTCCTGGGATTCAAGGCGTGAGTCACCATGCCTGGCTATTTCCAGTGTGGCCTTGAATTCACAGAGATCCATGCCTCCAGAAGGCTAGAATTAAAGGTGTGAGTGCCACCATTTTCTAGGCTCTGTATCTAGTGGCTGTTCTGTTCTCTGACCCCCAGATGAGTTTATTAGGGTGCACAATATTATGGGGAACACAATATCACCACACTGCGTTCCAGAATAAACTTTGAACTCCAACCCATCAGTAAGATTTTTGAAGAAAAAAAAGGGGGCGGTGTTTGGCAATCATCCTCCCTTCCCAACATTGTCTAAACTCTTTAAATTCAAATCTGACTGAGGTTAGCAATCAGAAATTCCAGCACTGTGTTCCGTGAAGTCTGCATTCCATCATTCAGTCCCTGGGTAAAACATACACAGTTCGTCAGAAAGGGGAGGGGAGGAAGCCCCCACAGCACAGAGCAGAACCTGAGCACTGTGGATTAACATGGCCTTGGGAAGTAAGCTGTGTCATGGAACTGGAAAGATGCATTTCACATGTATGAAATGAGTTCATGCTTAAGTCAAATTTGTTACTTGTAGATTATTAGCAAACAGAAACATATTACTGCCTTTGGATCCTGGACATTTTCTTTCTTGTTCTTTGTTGTTGACTGTCTAGCTATCGGGGAATAAATTGTGCTAGAAGAGGAGGAACCATAGATGTATGGGCATGGTTAAAGAAGCTAGAAAACAAATGGCTGCAGTAGTTTGAGTATGTCTAGGTTCGATCCTATGATCGTCCATCTGACACAGTTCAGCATCTCTATCACACTTCCCAATCACTCTTCATCTCTATAACTCTCTTCTCTGCCCTTTTCTTCATCGTCTGGCTTGTGGTCCAGGAGATGCTTGCTAAGGCTGGAAGCTGAGCTGACTTCAGGAGGACACAAGGGATGAGGTAAGCATGGTTTGAGCAGAGAGAAACAGGACCTCTGCATAGGCTGTGGAATTCCAGCACAAAAGACATCGTAGACCACTTAAACCTCCACAAGGGATCTTCGTAGTTCGTGAAAATCAGTGCCAGCTAAGAGGTTTGGAAGAACCTGGCAGATACCAGCAAGGCGGGGCTGCTGTGTTGAGATTGGTCCAGAGAGCTCTGGGAGGAGGGATAACACTACAGAGGCAGTGTGGGGCCCCTTCTGGAAAGTAGATGATGATAACTCTAGCCATCAGCTGTGGGCCCTGATAGTCATGGGGGTGGTGAGAAGCAGTATGAAGCAAATGGGAAGGTAAACCTGTGTCCAGAGGCTGAATGCAGATTAAAAAACAGATCCACTGTAAATACTTTTCAAGGAAGCTGGCCAAAATGTGGCAAGCACTTCCGGGAGACAGATTCCAATAAAGTTTCAGAAGGTTCCCAGACAGGAGTGTGGTCTTTGTATTTAAGTGGCTGTATCTATTGGATGATTTCAATGACAAGTTAAAAGAACCTCAATCAAGTTGGCCCAAATGAATTTCTTGCTTCAGATATCAGGAAGTCCAGAAGAAACGGAAGTTTCAAGATGGGCTTGATCCAGTGGGGCCAACTCCCTTTTCTCTCATGTCCTTCACGGCGTTTGGTAAGTAGATGCCCCAGATATGACATCCTGTCCACTCAGTGTCCTGCAACCTGCTGGAAGCACTCCAAGAAGAGGGAAACTCTACACTCAGGTCCCAGTAAAACACAAGCAGGCAGGAAGTAGTCACCATCAGGTTACTGCAGCCAAGGGGCCGTCAGTGACCCCTTAGGAGCATGCAGTGCATGGCGGAAGGAAGACACTTGAACCAGTCAGAAAACCAGAAAGGAAGCATGAAGAAATAGATCTGGGTGGGCAGCCAGGAACATCTGCTGCTGGCCCCCACAGTGAGAGGTTGTGTGGAGAGGCAGGTATCAAGATGACTAAGGCAATGCTATGAAGCTAGAGATGGAGAGCAGAGCCTACGGAGGGAAGCCGTACAGATTTGCCTAAGCACACAGCAGAAAGCAAAGTGGACAGAGGCACTCGCTGCAGAGTGCAATTCCCTTGGAGCACTCCTTGATCAATGCGCATTGTAAATCTCCAAGGGGGTGGAAGGTGTATACAACACTTCCCAAATTACTCCATCAGAGGACTTTTCCTCCGCCAGTAGTCTGGAGTGTAGGATCACACATGTCCTGCAAAAGTACAGGAGTGCATAAGACACTCTTCAATGCACAGCATGTCCCGAGTTCTTACTGAATGCACGCTAAGTCAATGAATCAGAAGCATACTCCAAGACAGTGGGCTCCATCCATCATTCTGAGGTGAAGGGTGACAGAAAATGTGGGAGCCCGCCCTTTAAAAGCAAAGGCTTCCTTCCTTTAAGTTCTTTTTCTTCCTAATTTTTGTTGACTAGTTGGTGTTAATTTTCAACCAGTGAGCAGGACCCCCAACGGTTCCCTGTGATCCACAGGAAGGCATGTCTTCTAGATTGCTTTCTTCTT